CAGAAATCCCCTGGAAGTTCCACAACACATCATTTTCTGTTCACTGTGACTGACATGTTTATTAGTGCATGCAGGAACATTAAAATATGTCCTTTCACTCCCATAAGGAAATTATTCTGACATGACACTGATGAGTCTAGAGAAAAAATAATCATTTTTAATTCACAAACTAAGCAGCCTTCATAGTCACTTAAAAACTGCTTATGTCTTACAATAAATAAATAAATAAATAAATAAATAAATAAATAAATAATTGAATACATTAATAAACTGCTTCCCTGCCAGACGGGTCACCCCTGAAACACCTGTGTCAGCAGAATCAAACATGATATTTTAGGCCTTACTGTATCAATCCTCTCTTAATCACAGTGTATTCTTACCTACATTTTCATGACAATACAGACGACCTAACAGAGTTTATACTTATTTGGTCAAAGATCCTTAATAAACATCAACTCTCCGTATTTGTAACTGGTAACAGATAATCGATAATATTAACGTCTATGCACCGTTTGAGTCAGTGCTGTTCTTGAGTTGACCACCTCCTCGAGCTTTTGTGTTTACGAGATTCTTAACAAACTTGACCTCTGACCTTTACCTTGAGGTCAGAGTCACTAAATTTTGAATTCCTGATAGATCCATGGCATCAATTTGCAAATCCTCAGAGACTTCTTTCTCAAATTATTGTACTCACAAAGTTGTGTGACTATGTTGCCCAACGACAACACGCCATCAGTGTTCTGGCTGAGTGGTATAATAATTATTTAATAAACAAACAAGCAAACAAACAGGTACCTGTGACAGGTAGACCAGCTCTCCTAAGTCGTCATAGCTTATGTCACGTTTCATCCCAATGACATCATCGACCTCTTTCTTTGCTCTAAGAAATAAAAATATTTAGAAAATTTTAGAAAACCAAAATTCTCTCTATATATTACACAGTAATAAGAACAGCATAAATATTGCCTGAAACATCTTTAGAGTTTAACACAAGTCGTATGGGTAAATAACTAGAACCCAATTAAGCAGATGAGAGAAAGACATTGCATTTGATATTTTATACATCTATGTCTATCTCTCTCATATCTATATATGTTTCTATATATATCTATATCTCTATAGCTATATATAATCATAATCTCAGGATTGTGAATATTTTTGATGTTTGATATTTGGATGGCTCAAATTAGAAGAAGTTGTTTTCACACAACGGGTTGACAATCAGATCTGAGGCACACACTGATTGTAAGAACTGGGATCAGACTGACTGTACAACAAGTGTGTCACGGCAAGAAGCTTTCTGAAGATCTCACAGACTTTTGTTTAAGTCCTCTTTACTTATAGGACCTTATAGGTTCAGTCAGCTGATGTTTCAGGTTATATTCATGCAGAAATACAGAAAATGAAATAAAATAATTACAAATCAAAATTAAAATAAAAAATTAAATAAAAAGTGTAAATTGTGAAGTTCTGTTTGACTTCTTACTTCTCCAGTATTTCAGGATGTCTTCCGAGCTCCATGACGCAAAAAGACAGCTGATTGGCTGTTGTTTCTTGGCCTAAAATGTTACCAGTTTGTCAATAATGTGTCAGAATATTACGTCAAAAGGAAACAGCCATGCAACTCTTAATCAAGAAGTTGTAAT